CCCCACTGGCATGCCTACTTACTTGCATGCATTACCTTGTATTGTTTGTCATGTCTCCCATACTGGGAATGGTTCATTCGTCATTATACCTTTATTCATGAACATTGCCTGACAATCGACGTACCTTTGCACTGACTCTGACAGGCACGACGACTTCAAAATGCTCGGACCCTGGCGCACACACCGATACGAACTACTCATTGTGGACAAGAAGCACGACCACTCTCGCTCGTGTCTCACCATCTTGTTCCACCTGGCCAGATGGACACTCTGGACGTTGCGGTGCCGAGCTCGCTTCGACCTCACAACCATCCACTCGGCCCACGCTATTGCGCACTTCCGAAGCCTTGTTCTCAATCGCGCGAGGCAAGACACCTTCACGTGCCGCAAAAACAAAGAACTCAAGACAAGCCCAGGCTTCCATAAGCTCTGGGGCAACGCACTCGCAATCGAGCCCGACTCGACTCTCCAAAAGATGATCCTCGTCCTCTGCGACGACCAAAATGTTGTTAGCACCCCAGACATCATATCTGGGCTGCAGATGTTTGACTAGAGCTGCGTACGCCAATGCCAGCGGCGCAGCTCAGCGAACTTTTGTTGTTACGACGGTGTGAGTACTGTTAAATACAAATACACATCGGTTTGAAAAAAAGAAGAGTGTGAAGGGCCCACCGGTGTGGACCCAGGACGCGACGTCGGCAACGCCGATGCCGACTTGACAAGTGGACTGGCTGCGGGACTTGCAGCAGCTGTGGGCGGGGTTGCTACGGAACGTGCAGCAACTGCAGATGGGGTTGCCACTGAGCGCGTAGCAACGGGTGACGCACTAGCTTGAGGTGGAGCGTGGCCAGCTGGAGCAGCGGGCGTGCGACTAGCCGTGGGTTGAACATGATTCGCCTGGACCGACGGCGATCCATTCGTGAAACGGATATCGAATTCCTCTCGCGTAGGCTGTGGCAGAGAAGGTTCGGCCAGATGGAATAAACGAACGGCCCTGGGGAAGCGAGCCCACACGTCTTTGGCTGGCTCCCAGGTGTCTTCCCGAGCAGTGGTGCCTACCCTTCGGATGCGATAGTACATAATCTCGCTGTGACGAGTCGAGTCAATCACCGCCTCGACTCGATGTCGAACTGTTCCGTCCCAGTCCTTGACAGGAGGCAGGACTCGCCGAATCCGACCTTCAACGGCATCAGCGATAAACAATTCCAGGACAGATACATGGAAGGTGCGGGACTTGCTGGATGCTTCACCTAGATCCAGCTCAAAGGCACGCTCATTGATCTGCTTCACGACCTTGAAGGGACCATCGCGTACGTACGCCAACTTGGCATACGGTTGTTCAGCCGTCTGACTGCGACGCAGAACTGTGACTAGGCTGCCCACCGTGATCGGAGGTGCTGCCTTGTGGTGTCGATCATAGAACTTGGCTGCGGACATGTTTGCTCGGTGAATATTCGCTCTCAACGAGAAACGCAGTGCCTTGAGTTCCTCCACGCGATCAGCTGCCGTTTGAGGTGCCTTCGGCGACTTGAAGTTAATCTCATCCATTTCCGGCTGAAACTCGTTCATGGCCATGAACGGACTGCACTGGATCGCCGCGTGCACCGTGTTGTTGTACGTGAACTCGCACAACCAAAGGAGTCTTGACAGTCCTCGGCTTCACCGACCATACGCTCGCAGGTATGACCCC